CTGCTGGACGGCGCGGCGGCGCCGTCGTCGCGCAGCGGCAGTGGCACTGCGGCGGCGCCGCCGCCACTCTCGCCGCGCGGCGGCCGCGGCAGCCTGGACGAGGCGTCGTTCAACAACCTGCTCGCCGCCGCGGCGGCCGGCGGCGGCGGGCCGCTCGCCGGACTGCTCGCCGGCGGCGCGCCGGCGGCGCGGCCGCTGATGGCGCCCAAGAGCCGCTACGTAGTCCTGCTCCTGGACTCCTCAGACACCGCCGCCCGCCTGGCCTCCCTCCTCTCCCGCAAGGGCCGTGCGCTGCTCGGACTGTCCAGCAGCGGCCAGTCCGTCGGCGTCGGCGTTGCGAGCGCGTACGGACTGCACGAGTCGCTGGCCATGCTGGACTCTGCCGGACTGGCCGCGAAGGACGTGGACTTCCTTATCACCAACTGCGGCAGCCAGGTCTGGTACGGCGGGCCCGTCGTCTCGTCGATGACGCGCAACGCGCAGTCCGCGCAGTCCGCGTTTTCCGGCGGAGCCGCCGCGGGGGCCGCGGAGGGCGTCGTCGCTGACGAGGCGTGGGACGCCTTCGCGGACCGCTGGTGGGACAAGACGTGCGTGCGGCGCGTGCTGGCGCAGCTCCTCGCGCAGCGCGGCCTGCTGACCGGGCTGACCAGCGCCGGCGGCGGTGCGCGCGTCGGCGCGGCGGCAGGGTCGCCGCCGGTCAAGATCACGGTCGACACGGAGACCGGCGCGCACCACCTTCTGCTCAAGCTGCACTCGACGGCATCGAGCGTCGCGGGCGCCGCGGGCGCCGGCGCGCCGCCCGCCGCGGCGCTGTCCGCGGCGGACACGCAGGCGCTCATATCCCGCATCAAGCGGCGCTTCCGCAGCAGCGGCCTGCGGACGCAGGTGACGGCGCAGGCGGAGGGGGACGGGTCGGTGCGGCTGCACGTGACGCCGCTGCGGGCGAGCCGGGCGCTGGCGCTGAGGTGGCTCGCGCAGAAGCACAAGGTGGAGCTTACTAACCTGGCGGTTGTCAGGTGGGTGCGCCGTGAAACATAACTGTTGTGCCTCCGTAATCTTGTTTCTGCACATTTTGGATAGATTGATCATCATTGGGAAAGGGTTTGCAGGACGAGGTGTTTTTGCCATACCTCAAAGCCGCATGATCTGTTGCATCCGCATGCTTGTGCTTTGCAGGCAAAGCGCCTGTTTGATTCCTACATCCAATTTGCCCTCCTCATCCGTACCCCCGCAGCTGCGCCCGCTCGATGGCCCCCGGCGAGCCGGCTCGCTTCGCAACCTCGGACGCGGAGGACAACCTCGGCGGCTCGCAGGGCGTCCTCGTCGTGCCCCCCGCCCCCGCCCCCTCGGCCACCGACGGCGCGGAGGGCGCCGCGGCCGCGGCCGCGGCGCAGCAGCTGCTCGGCGGCTTCCAGGTGGACCTGGGGCTGTACCAGCACGACGGCCGCCTGCAGATCCTAGAGGCCCGCAAGTGCTGAGCAGCGGTCGCGACGGCGCGAACTGCCGCGTGCAGCCGGCGCAAACGCCGAGGCGGCTGCCGCCAAATGGCGCTGCCTGCTGCTGCGGCGCCGCCTCGACTGGCAGGGCGCTGCGCCTTGGTTTGGGTGTCTGCTTATTCACGTAGCAGCCACCTGGCCTCGCGCTTTCTATGTCGGCATGTGCGAGTAGTGTCCGATCCCGTAATCGCCCACGCTCCAAGGTGTGGTGGCTCCAGGCTTTCTCAGGCTTACTTTTAGTTCTTTCTTGCCGTACGGCGGGTACAACTCACGCACACCAACACGCTCGTCGCTGCTCAAGGCGCGCTTGCTTGCTGTGCGTCCCTGTTTTTGATAAAGACGGGACTGCTTGGCTGTTGATCAGGGTTTGGGTTTGGAACTGGGCTGTGTACCCTCGCAGCCGTTTTTCACCTTGCACACAACAGCCGGGCGACGCGTCACCCATGTTTCAATACGAAAACGCCTCACAAAGCAAAACGAACGGTCCCCTTGGGCCTTTGGGCGCACCCCATCAAGGGACGGCCTTCATGGCACCTGGTGCTTGCGACACGCCCACGCTTACTCATCCCAGATGTGCCCTGCTGGGGCCACGTTCTTTGTTCCTTCCAATACTAGATCTCAACCAGATCTTGAAAAGATTGTCGTGCGTGTTTGACTAGATCGTCGAGCGTCTGTAGTGCGTTCAAGGTACTGCTCGCGCGTGGAATCGCGTGGGCTCTGCATGACGTGCCTGTGAGTGGTCTGGCAGGGGGTGTGGCGATCAGGCGTCCGCGTGCGGTCCGAGGATCAACCAGGGGTTTGTCCCAGGCCATGCGCGCCGATCGAGATGGGTGGTGCGCAATGCTGGACTGCGAGAGGATGGATCTGGCAACCGTCACCTCAGCATTTTGCTCCTCCCACGCGTCTTGGCACGCCCGCCGCTGCTTTTGCCCCGCGCGTTGTTTGGTGGGGTTGGTCACGCGGCCGCCCTACACCCACCCACCCAACCAGAGTCCAATCTTAATGTGCAGGCGTTGAAAGCGCCGCGCTTGCCCCTCCATCTGCGACACCAAGCATGCAGCTGCGACACTATGCTGCGCCCTTTGCCCTTGCCACGCCTCTGTTCCTTGCATTGTTGAGAGTGACGGCGGCGCATTCACATCCCTCCTGACTGGATCGGCGGTCGCCGTCTGCGAGGGATGGTAGGTCTGTTGATGCGATCTGGTGCCGCTTGTTTCCACCACGCCCGCTTCCCCTGACCCTGCTTCATGCCGACGGTCGTGCGCGTTGTGCGCGACCTATGTAGCCTGTAAGAACAATTTTACATTGGAGTAGCATTGGTCGCCGTCAGGCTCGGCCGCGCCGGCCCCTGTCTCATCCATACATGCAGGCTGTGGCGGTGGGTGCGAGCAGCGGCCCTGGGCCGCGCCAGCTGTCGCTTGCGAGGTGATCAGCAAGGTGGTGTTACAGGCTGCGAACTCACCTCGCCCTGCATCAACAAGAACGACGGCGAGAAAAACAAAAGACAGCGAAAAGCGGTGGCCAACATCCCAAGAACGCTTTCGTGAAGCGCACAAAGCATTCATGGGCGGTCAACCGGCGGTGGTGGTCAGCAGCAGAAACCGCATGCGGTCGAAGCCGTCATCCATCAAAAGCGCAGATGCACGCGGCAGCCAGGGGAGCCCCAAGGGTGGGCGGGCACACCTTTTGCAGAGCATGTGCAGCAGGGAAAGCGCCCGCCCGCGGTCAAAACCCAAGCTCCCATGCAGCAACACCAGGCAGCAACGGCAGCGAGAAGCGGCGGGCGCGCCAAGCGACGCCGCGGCTCGGCCGAGCGGGGCGCTGCCCAACGCAGCATTTGTTCGGGGACTCCTTGGCGATTACGGCCGCAGCGACTGTCGGGTCGTGCGTTTGTGGCCGTCGCCCACGCAGGTGGCGAGCGACGCCATGTTGCCCCCCAAAGCTCTGCAGTCCCCGGTGCCATACCCGAGGGCAGGGGGGGAGGGGGCTGCACGCACATGCGCAGCCGCACGAGCTTGTGACACCAAGCGGCTCAGGACCACAGAGCGTTGTGTCACCCCGAGCAGATTCGCCCCTGCCAGGCCCCCAGTCAAGAGTCCCGCGTCGTCATTATTGCCGGAGGAGCAAGCGGAGGCAGCGAGGGGCGGAGCATACCCGTACGCATCGCCACCGCCGCCGTCGCGCGCGGCGCGGCTGGGGGCGCCCTAGTGATGCGCGCCCGCGCCTCCGCCGCCGCCGCCACCCCCGCCGCCGCCGCCGCCCAGCGACATGGCGCGGAGTTCGTCCAGGTCCGCCTCCCCCAGGGTGCGGCGGAATGATATGTCGCGGACCAGCTGGGGTGAGGGGGGGTGGTGGGGTGTGTGTGTGTGTGTGTGAGTTGAGTGCGCGCGCGTGCGCACGCGCGCGCGTGTGTGTGTGTGTCTGTGTGTGTGTGCGCGCGTGCACTAGTGTGTGTGTGTGTGTGTGTGTGTGTGTCCATGAGCGCGCGAGTGCTTTTGTGCGCGAATGTACATGCGACTTCGTGTCGGCCGAGGTTTGCGTGCGTTCACCGGCCAAGCCTTGGCGCAGGTCCGGCTCGGCGTGATGGAAGTTGCAGCCTGCCGCCCCCGTTCCCTTGCAGCCGCGGGCAGCGGCAGGGCCAGCCGCGCCCTCAACCCGAGGCCGCCCCTGCCGGGGCGGGCGCCCCCGCCGACCGGCCGCCGCCCCGGCCCCAACCCCTGGCCGCCCAGCCCGGCGGCCAACCCTGGCCCCGCGGGGGCGCACCTTGTGCCAGAGGCTGCCCTCCATGATCTGGGCCTCGCTGCCGCACAGCAGGTCCGACAGCTTCGCCAGGTCCAGCCGCGCGCTGCTGATGCGCAGGCTGCTGCCGGCCTGGGCCAGCATCTCGTCGTCATCTCCCACAAGGAATGCCGCGTAGTCGTCCGCGGCGCCGCCGACGCTGTCGCCGCGCGCGGGGCCGGGCGCGCCGGCCGCGGCGGGCGGGCGGGGGTGCTGCTGCTGCTGCTGCTGCTGCTGCGGTTGAGGCGGGGGCGGAGGCGGCTGCTGCGGCGGCTGCTGCGCCGGCG